TTATTAGGAGTCCAAGTCAATGATCTGTGTGTGTGTGTGTGTGTGTGTGTGTGTGTGTGTGTGTGTGAGTGTGTGTGAGAGAGAGAGAGAGATGATGTTTTGATGGTGTGATGCTGGCATCCAAATGCTAGGAGGAGGTGATTCTAGGATATCCTGGGAGTATACAAGAGAGACTCCTTATTTGTCTTTTCTGATAACCAGAAGAGTGATAGTACAACCCAGAAGACCGTTTGGAATTAGCCAGGCAACTGGTGCAAAAGCATTCCAGGTCAAGAGAATAGCATATCCAAAAACACGAGAATATTATGTATCTAAGGAAACCACACATAGACTTGTGTGTCCACATTATTCAGGTTGAGGTGATAAAACAGGGTGAGTTGAGTTGCTGGGGAAAGATCTTATTAGGCCTTTTTTTTTTTTTTTCCTGTACCGGGGATCGAACTCAGGTCCTTGCGCTTGCGAGGCAGGCTATTAGGCCTTTTAAACCGGGTGAAGGACCTGAAAGTTTATTTTGAGAGCATTAGGGAGCCACGGAAGGTTTTAAATGGGGTTAACATGTGATCAGATGTGCAGTTTTTTGTTTTCATTTTGTTTTTTGAGGCAGGGTCTCACTGTGTAGTGCAGGCTGGCCACCTTGAACTCAACTCTGTAGTGCAGGCTGGCCTCAAACTTGCAGTGATCCTCCTGCTTCAGTCTCCTGAGTGCCAGGATCATAGGTGTGTGCTACCACACCTGGCCAGATGTGCGGTTTTGAGTGACCACCCTGGCTGACAACTCAAAAAAGAATTGGAGAGAGGTTTGGGAAGAGGCAGAGCTGGAGATGACAGCAGTGAGAAAAAGTAGGTGAGCTGGGGATGTGGCCACTGCTGCCTCTCCTGCCTGGCAATTACAAAGTCCTGAGTTCGATACCCGGCACACCGCCCCCCCCCCCAAAAAAGAAAGAAAGTAGTAGGTGGAGTTTTCAGGAGGGAAAATGGGCAGTACAGAGCAACTGGAGCTGGGGTGACCAGGTCAGGATGGCAGAAAATCAGGGCCAGATCCCCCTCTTCTAGCTTGTGCAGCTGAGTAGTTGATGGAGCCCTTTGAGGAAGCAGTCAGTGAGGGAGGGAATGCTGAGGTCATCTGTGGATGCAGTTTGAAGCATTCATGGAGATCAGTTGGAGATGTCCACTTGGCATCCGTGAGCTCCTGGAGGGAAGCAGTGTGATTGAGCTGGGCCCTGTGTCTTCTTCCCGTGCAGCCTCAGCCTCGCCATGTGCATAAGGAGGCTTTTCCAGTCCTCAGACCTCCAGTGGGCATGGAGGGTGGCCTTCCTGAGATGCATCCAGTGCAGGTGGCGGGGAGCCCATCGTTGGACACATTCTGGAGGCAGTGCCTACCGAGCAGTGATTTTCGACATGGGTGGTGTTCTCATCCCTTCTCCAGGGAGAGTGGCCGCTGGTGAGCTCTTTCTTGTTTCATTTTTGGGGCCTGGAGTGGGCATGGGAGAATGGAGGTGTTAGGGGAGACAGGAGAACCTTTGGGCAGCAGTGGATCCTGTTGGGCAGTGCTCGGGTCCTGGACTCAAATTCCAAGCACTACTTAGTGGCCAACTGTCCTGGGGAGATTATTCTCTGGGTCTTAGTTTGCTCATCATTAAATTAGGGCCAATAATAGTACCTACCTTGTTGGGATTTGGGGAGAGTTAAGTGAAGTCGTGCATGGAAAGCACTTGCTAAGAACAGTGGGTGTTCGGCTCATCCCATATTCCCAGGAAATGATTGAGCTGCCCTGTTTACCGTTAGGATTAGAGTTTAACCGCTTTTCCCTGGGAATGGTGCTACTTCTGAAATCTTGGATGGCGCCCTGAATTCCTTTCTCTCTATCTCCCCAAACTTGCTTCTGAACCCACACTGTCAAACCTCAGATCTCTTTAGTCCTCTCTTTTATTGGCCTTTCCTTGGTTTTACTTCTGCTTAAACTCAACTCAACTTAAATTAGTCAGATTAGTTTTGGCTTCAAATATTAGAAACCCTAATAAAACAAGGACTGAAACAAGATAGAAGTTTGTTTCTCTACTACGTGAAAGCCCAAGTATGTTGTGTGGGGCTAGGAAGCAGCTCTGTGGCATCAGGGGCTCCAGCTGTCTGTGTCTCTGTCTGTCCCCCTCTCCCCACCACTGTGCTAGGATGGAACCCACGCCTCTTGCATGCTGTGCGACCTCCCTACCACTGAGCCACACCCCTAGCCCAACTCTAGCTCTCTCTTTCTGCTGCCCTGCCACGAGTTCTCTTCATTTCCCAGTTTCACACCATGGTGTGCCTCCTGCTGTCACCTCTTGCTATCACATTCTCATCCCACCCAGTGGGAAGGAGAAAGGGCCAAACAGCTGTCCTCCTGTGTCCTTCTATGGGGGATGGTGGGCCAATTCTTCCTCCTAAGGCGGCACAGAAACCTGTGCCCGTGTCCAGGCTTTCTGGCACTGCTGAGAAAGTCACCCAGCTGGCATATTGGCTGCATGGGCTGGGTTCTGTGCTCCAACCTCCGTTGGGCCCTCAGCACCGTATTGGAGCCTCTCAGTGCTCCCTCTCCTGTTCCTCTCAAGTATGTTGGGGCCTATACCAAACTGTCAGTTCCCCCCAGGCTCTTCACCCTCAACACCAGCCTTTATGCTGACCACTGAATCGTTTTTTTGGTTTTTCTTTCAGTGGTAGGGATGGAACCCAGGGCCTTGAACTCACTACATAGTCTAGGTGGTGACTATGATAGCCTAGACTTTGAGACAATGATGGCGAACCTTTTAGAGCTTTCAGTGATAATAAACAGCCCGCTGCAGCACACATGCCATAGGTTTGTCATCACTGATGTAGGCTGTCTTCAAACTTGTGGTGGTCCTCCTCCCTCTGCCTCCTAAGTGCTGGGAGTATAGGCATTTGGCACCATGCCCTGCCTAACCAACCTTGCCTACAAAGGGCTTTATAGGCTTGGTACTTTGTGAGTCATACAGTCTCTGTCACAACTATTCACCTCTATCATTATAGCGACAAAGCACTGATAGTAGTAAAGGAATAGATGTGAAGTATTAAAGGAATAGATGTTCCCATAAAACTTTATATGTAAATATAGGTAGGCCAGGCCTGGTGGCACACGCCTATAATTCCAGCGTTTGGGAGGCTGAGGCAGGAGGATCACTATGCCAGCCTGGGATAGATAGTGAGTCTAAGGATACACAGTGGGACCCTGTCTCAAAAAAAAAAGAAAGAAAGAAAAGAAGGCAGGGCATGTAGCTCAGTGATAGAACACTCTTAGGTTCAATCCCTGACACACACCCAAAACAAACAGAAAGGAGGCAGATTTGACCCTTAAGCAATATTTGTTCACCCTTAACCTACTTTGTACATTTTAATATCTGTACAGTGTTCCCCTATGTGGGTTTACCATAATTGATTTAATAAGCCCTTTATTGATATATACATTCAATTTTCAAGTTCTTTTTATAACAAATTTTGCACAAAAAGATTATGTATATAATCTTTGCTTAGTTCTATAAATGCATCTGAAAGAAATTCCTGGAAGTGGAATTACTACATTTAATATATATGCATTAAAATTTTGACAGTTGCCAAATTCCTTTCCATAGAGGTTATACTTGTTTATATTCCATCAACAACAGCATATGCAGCTGCCAGTTTACCCCCAGACTTACCAACTCTGGCACTATCAAAAGGGCTATACACTTTAGCTCTAAAATTAAAGAAGCATTATTTTTAGATTGAGTTTTAAAAGTCTTGTTGGTCTCAAAGTACATACATCACATCAGTAATGTTGGTTATTTCTGAAGAATGAAATTGTTTGTCATTTTACTTTCTTTTTTGTACCTTTTTATATTGTCTGAAATATTTTCAATGCGTAAGTAGTACTTTATTAGAAAAAGCAATAAAAATATCTTCAAAAGATATAAATAAAATGTATCATCTTAGAGATATAATTATGAATTTTATATATAATATACACACATATATATTGCCCCCAGTGGCTGTATTATATAGAATCAGCAAAGAAACAACCTTGTACAAATATGACATTTGTCCAGGTGTTCCTAGCATTACACCATGCTGATATTTCTCCTGCCTTAACTCTTTCTAAAGAGAAAATTTCCACAAAGACAGCATCTCCCAGTTGAGTATTTCAGTGATCCAGCAACACTGCCATAAAGGATCATGCAGCTTATTTATTTATTTATTTATTTATTTATTGGGTTGTTTTGTTTTTTTTTTGGTACCGGGGATCGAACTCAGGACCTTGTGCTTGCGAGACAGGTGGCAGCACCACTGAGCTAAATCCCCGGCCCATATTGGGATTTTCTGAGACTAGTCTCACTATGCAGTTCAGGCTGGCCTTGAACTCACTATATAGCAGACAGTGGCCTTGAACTCATAGTGATCCACCTGCCTCAGCCTACACGGAGTGCTGGGATTATAGGCATATGCCATCACACCCGGCGATCATATACCTTACAAAATGAAGAGTTTGGTGTTGGGAGTTTGCAGAATCTAGTGGCTTTCATGGGTTTCCTTAGTATGTGCCATGCCAGGATTGAGTAAGTGACCTAATGGATGTGGTCCATACAGTGACAGACAAGGATGAAGGTTCAGCCTGCTGTACCCCAGGTCATCTCAAACTAGTGGGGGTAAGGACCTGATGCTCAGCAGCACTGTGATGTTAGGCAAATTAGCATCTCTTCCTTTAGGTCCAAGGTTGAGATTTTGCGTTTTCTGCATTTCTCTGAATTCCCAGTAGCACCCTTCTGGGCACCACAGTGATGCCCTAGCAACTGGTACCATCATTCCCCTTGCCATCCTCAAGCCCCAGCCATTTGTGAGTGTATTTTACTTTCACATATTTTACTTCCTGTAGAATGGGAAGTGCAGAATCATGTCCCTTCTGGAACTATATTGAAAGCCTTGATCAAAGATGGTGAAAATGGACCTTGGATGAGATTTATGAGAGGAGAGATAACAACAGGGGATTTCATACAAGAATTTGGGAGAATTTGCTCTGAAATAGTAAGTGATAAACATCGGAATTTCTGTATTTTTCTTTTTGGCTTGAATAGCATTTACAACATTTCATCCATAAATTGGTCAAATTGAAAATAATGTGAAAACCTAGTAGGTTTTTAAGCTGTTTATTATGTTTTTGGCTATTATCCTTAGGTACTCAATTTTAACTTTATATATGAATAAGTAAAAATATTCTTTCCCATAAACCTCACCAGCAGCTGTTGAAACAAGAGCTGTCTGCATAATGGCTTTGATCCAAAAGCTGATGGAAGCAATAATAGTACTGACTATTTTCTCTGTGCTATGCATTGTTCTAAATTTTTTATTTATATTAATTTATATAACCTTTAAATAGCTCTACTAAAATATAATTTAAAATATAATAGTAAGAAAAGTTCTGTGGATGGATGGTGGTAATGGTTGTTGAACAGTATGACTATACTCAATGCCACTGAACTGTATTCTTAAAAATGGTTAAAATGGTAAATTTTATTTTATGTATACTTTCTACAATTAAAAAATGGTTATCCTTGAAAATATGTTAAAGCAAACAAACTTGTCAAAAGCATTCCTCCTGCCTCAGGCTCCGGAGTGCTGGATTTATAGGCATGTGCTGCCGGGCCTGGGTTATTATTGATTTTCTGACACAGGGTCTTGCTGTGTATTCCAAGCTTGCCTCGAACTCACTATATACCTCATACTGACCTCAAACTAAGTGATTCTTCTGCCTCAGCCTCCCAAGAGCTAGGACTATAGGCATGTGCTAGTTAGCTGGGTGTGGTGGCGCATACCTATAATTCCAGTGCACTGGGAGGCTGAGGCATTAGGACTGTAAGTTTGAGCCCAGCCTAGGCAACTTAGCCATTTAGCAAGACATTACTTCAAAATAAAAAATAAAAAGGGGCCAGGGGTATGGCTCAGTGCAAAGGCCCTGGGTTCAATTCCCAATACCACACACACAAAAAAGACAATGTATTATATGATTCCACTTATAGGAAATGTCTACAATACTAAAATCTATACATAGAGACAGTAGATGGGTGGTTTTCTAGGACTAGGGTTGTTGGAGGAAAATGAGGAGTGACTGCTAATGGGTATAAGTTTCTCTGTAGAGTAACAAGTGTTCTAAAATCAACTGCATGGTGTTGAACAACTTCATGTGTATATTAAAAACCATTGACTTGTACACTTTAGGTGAATTGAATGGTATGTTAGTTATATTTCAGTAAAGCTGTTAAAAATATAGCTGACTTGGCCTTTGCAAATTTTGAAACATGCTGAGGGTTTCAAAATCCACACAGATTAAATTTTAAAACAAAATTGATTGCAAATTGAGGTTCATAATGTTGATGTTAGGATAAAACAAAATCATTAAATGGCTTCTGGATCATTAAAAGTAAATTACATCTGCTTAATATACTTTTAAACTTTAATGTAACGTCTGATGATCTGATTTATAAAAAATAGTCAGCTAAGAGTAGAATAGAGAACTCATTTAACTGCAGTATTGATATGAACAGGCCATTTCCCTAATCATGGTAACTAATTCTGAGTCAGTTAAAAACTCATTTGTAGAAGAAATTCACTTTTGAATTCTCCCTTCCTGTCTAGAGTAGCTTTCTGCCATCTCTCTTCCTCTTCCTCCTCCTCTTCTTCTCCATCTTCCCCTCCCCCCGTCTCTCTCTGTCTCTCTTTCCCCTTCCCCCCACCTTTAAATAGTCTTCTTCTATTAAAAAAAACACAAAACTCCCTTGTAGTGGAGGCGTGGTCCTGCATACTTTAGTCCTAGCTACTCAGAAGGCTGTGCAGCAGGATTGCTTGAGCTGAGAGATTTGGTGCCTGTTTGGATGAGGTAGCAATACCCCACTAAAAACAAAGAAGAAGAAAAACCTCACATGGAGAGTTCAGGACTCAAGGTGAGGGAGACAATTCCTTTAGGCAGTAAGCCAGTGGCTTGGGCTCTGACCACCGGGTAGCAGTAGCAAGCCAAGAATTAGTATTTTTCCCTTGTAGCTCATGAGCTTTGCTCCCCCCCCCCCTTTTTTTTTAAGATAGGATCTTGCTAATTTGCCAGGCTGGGCTCTCCCTTGCAGTCCTAGTGGCTCTGCCACCCATTGGCTAAGACTGCAGGTGTGTGCCGCCACCCTGTCTTGCTCTCACTCTTGATGACTGCTGGTTCTCTTCCTTCCCTATCCAGTCTAAGACCTCAGTGCCTGTGGACTCATTTTTCTCTCTGCTGACCAGTGAGCAAGTGGCACAGCAGTTCCCAGTGATGACCGAAGCCATCTCTCAAATTCGAGCAAAAGGCTTTCAGACTGCAGTCTTGACCAATAATTTTTATGTGTCCAGCGGGAAAAGCTTTTTGCCCCTGGACCGGAGCCAGTTTGATGTGGTAAGCTTGAGGAGTTCTACAGTGATGGACATAGGATCTTTGCACCTGGGCTTTTAGCAGCATTTGAGTGAATGTGTTTTTATACAGCCACTTGACTGGGTTATACTTAGATATAATAGGCCGAAACAGAGCTTTTAAAATATCATTGTGCCTTAAGCAAGGCCAGGCATTTATGGGATTTGATCCTCAGCTGTAGAGGCCCCTTTACGTTCTGAGTTCAGACCTCAGGTCACACTTAACACGAGCACCTCCATCAGCCTGGGTGTCTTCGTGGTCCTTTGAACTCTACTCTTCTTTTTTTTTTTTTTTTTTGGTGCTAGGGATCAAACTCAGGACCTTGAGCTTGCAAGGCAGGCAGCGGAACCACTGAACTAAATCCCTGGCCTGCAAACTCTGCTCTTCTGAGACCAACTATGTTGCCCTGTCTTTTTGTGTTGTTAAGTCCAGTGCTATCTAAGCCCTGATTTACTCCCCTACTAAATTCCACGTGATTTGCTCCATGTGTACACCCCAGCATTTAATGTTTATGGTAGAACTTTGACATGCTTGGCTATATTTGGGTACTTTTTAAATGTTTATCCCTTATAACCGACAGCAGTGATAATTCCCTTTGGAGACTCCAAAGCCGAGTGGCAGTAAGGCTTCAAGGGTCTTCCAGAGTTGTGATGACTCGAGGGGACCCTTCCCTTCAGTCCCATTCTCTGTGGATAGTCCCAGTCAGTGCAGATTGAAACACCTCACCAAACACAGTGAGAGATATGGCAGCCTCTGGAGCCCATGGGAGGAAATTTCCCTGATAATTTCAATATCATACATTTTATTAGCAGAGCATTTTTCTTTTTCTCTCCATCCTTAGAAGACATACTTTGGTTTGACTCTAGAAAATGGCATGTTCCCAGCCCTTACTTAGTCCCTTTCATTGGACTGATGAGGTGGAGATAAAGATTTTCAGCTCTGCCTACCCATTGGAATGACCTGGGGTTTGTAAAGACTTCAGGTTCCCTTCCCTGAGGTTGTTGTTGAGTGGTCTGGGTGGGACCTGGGCATGTGCATGTATGGAAAGCTCCACTGGTGATTGTGCTGTGTAGTTGGGGTGAGACCCTCTCCCCTGACATGCTTTTGGTGAAATGTACAGCCTTTCTTCTGTTCTGGGTATCCATAATGTGTGGCATTAACAAATGCTTGGTCTTTTTGAGCTCACCCAAGTTTCATTTAAGCTTCACAGTAACCACTGAGATAGGTAAGATGGCAGTTATTAGTCCCATTTTCCTGAGGGTGAAACTGAGGCTAGTTGTTTGTACATGGCCATGGGGTCTGAACCAGAACTTTGGTTTCCTGAGTTTGCCCCCAGGTCATAATCCAGAATTTCCTAATCATTCTATTTAAGAAGATTAAATTTCTTGTAATAAGTTTCAAATGTCCTGCTTTTTTTCGCGAAAAATGTGCCACCGTGCATGTGGGTGCTCTACCTTTAGGGATGTCCCTCTCCTTTCTGCCCCCCTCAGGTGGTGGAGTCCTGCCTGGAAGGGGTCTGTAAGCCAGACCCTAGGATATACCAGCTCTGCTTGGCGCGCCTCGGCCTGCAGCCCTCCAAGTCTATCTTTCTCGATGATCTGGGACCAAATCTAAAAGCAGCTGCCAGCCTTGGTATACATACTATTAAGGTAATTGTCCTTATTCTCCCCTCACCCCCACCCCTGTACTGGGGATTGAACCCAGGCCTTCACACATGGTGGGGAACTGTTCTGTTCCTGAGCTACAGCCCCTCCCCTTTAAATTCTGAGATGGGATCTCCCTTCGTTGCCTAGGCTGGTGTCAGACTTGCAGCCCTCTTGCTTCAGCCCTCCAAGTAGCTGGAAAACCATGCCTGGCTCATCACTTTTTAAAAAACCGTCTACTGTCCACCAGGAATTAGTGCAAGCCTTTCAGAGTGACATCTAGGCTTTCCAAGTGATGCTTCTCTAGATGGGGACTCAGCAGCCACCAGCCACGTGGGTCACCCAAGTTATGGCTGTGAGCATGGAAGCCAAGTGACAGGATCACAGGCCAGTTTCTACATTGGGTTTTCATTATTAAGCAGGTGGCAGTAAGGACACAGAAGACACTGCAGCACAGTCTTCTGCCCCATTAATAGGCACTCTTCCAAGCGGAAAGAAAGCTCAGTGCAGCTAGGAATTACCTGGAGGCAAAAACTCATTCTGCTTCTGCCTTAGAGTTGCATGTCCTGACTCCACAGGCTTTCCTCAGAAAGCTGACTCGTGGCTAAGTCCCTCCTGAGAATTAGCTCCATAGAGACTGGCACAGGGTGGGTCTTCTCTCCAAAACCAGGTCAACGACCCGGAGATTGCAGTGAAGGAATTAGAGTCTCTTCTGGGTTTTTCATTGCACCGGGGTATTCTCAACACTCGTCCTGTGAGGAAGACCATGGAGATCCCAAAAGATGCCCTGGAGAAGTACCTTGGAAACTTGCTGGGGACCCAAACCAAAGGTATGGAAGGTGGTTTTTGTTGTTATTATTGTTGTTGTTGTTGAGCTACACTCCCGACTTTTTTTTTTACATAGTGTTTCACTAAGTTGCCAAGTTGCCCAGACTGGGCTTGAACTTTCTATCCTCCTTCCTGGGCTCCCAGAGTGCAGGGATTACAGGCATACAATACCATGCCTGGCTAGGTTTTGTATTTGGGTGGTTCTCTCCAGGCTACACTTCCTTTCTAGTTTTCACTCTCAAACCCTGTTGTAATATGCTGTAGACAAAGAAGCAATGCCATGGAGAAGGTAGCCATTGAGCCTGGTAGATCCAAGTACTGATTTCAATTTTTCTTGGAAAAAGCATTAAACTCCTTTTTTATGGATCCACAGAAGTACATTTGCCCTTGTTATCCACTGAGAGTTTGGTATGGCATGGCAACATCTTCTGCAAATGGCCACCAAGGAGGAGAGGAACTTGGGGACTGTATTATGTGCATGGGGGTGTTTGAGTGTTTCTAATTTTTTGAGACTACATCCTGTTTTGTGAAGGTGACCTAAAAGTTGCATAATTTAGCTAGGTGTGGTGGCATACATCTGTAATCCCAGTACTTTGAGAAACTGAGGTAGGCAGATCACAAGTTTGGGTCAAAATACCTGACATCCAAAGTTAAAGGAGAAAAAGTTTATTTAACTCACAGTTTGTAGAGGTTTCAGTTTATAGTTGTCTGGCTCCAAGCAGGGTGGCATAGCAGAGGGGCATCTCAGAGGAGAAACAGTTCATGGTGGGCAGAAAACAACAAAGTAGCAAGCAAGGACAGCAGTCCTCTTTCTGTCCCTTACTTTCTATCTAGGCTACACACCCTTAGGGTGGATAGTACTCACACCCAGGGTGGGCCTTCCCACTACCACACCCAGGACTATGCCAAACCAATCAGTGGACTGATTTAGTAATCACACACTTTTTGTTTTGTTTTGTTTTTTGAGACAGGGTCTCGCTGTGTAGTTCAGGCTGATCTTGAACTCATATGTAGCCCAGATGGGTCTCAAATTTGTAGCGATTCTCCTTCCTCAACCTCCTGAGTGCTGGGATTACAGGCATGGGCCATCATGCCCATCCCCAGCATCACACACTTAATCCCAGCATCACAATTTAATCCTAGCATCACACACTCTAGATCCAACCACCTCTGAAAAGCCCCACTGGTGACTACATGAGGCTTTTGGGGACATCTAGACATAAGCCATAACAGGCCCAGCCTAGGCAAGTTAGCAACTTAGCAAGGTCCTATCTCACAATCAAAAATAAGAGGGCTGGAGATGCAGTTCAGTGTGAAGGCCTGATTTCATAACCCAAGTACCAAAAATAAAGTTGCTTTGTGGGGGTAGTTTGGAGACAGGTTCTCACTATGTAGTTCAGGCTGGCCCTTAACTGTGTAGCCCTGGCTAGTCTCGAACTCCTGGCAGTCCTCCTGCCTCAGCCTCCCGAGTGCTGGGATTATAAGCATGCACCGCCACACCCAGCTAAATTGAATGATTTTAAAAAGCAACAAGTTGACTCTACTTCTTCAAGGGTCCCTTTGTCATTCTTCATATTTTACCCTCAGGGAAAAAAAAAAAGAAATGCAAATTCTAGCCAGGCATGGTGACACAGGGATGTAATCCAAGCACTCAGGAGGCAGAGGCAGAAGCACCACTGCAAATTCGAGGCCAGTCTGGGCCACATAGTGAGTTCAAAGGCCACGTGAACTACATAGCAAGATCTTGCCTCAAAAAAAGACACAACAACAACAAAAAAAGAAGCACATTTCATCCTCAGAAAAATAGATTCCCTCTGCCCATGCACCCTGTTTTTTTGCCTTGAATTCACTATGTAGCCCAGGCTGGCCTCAAACTTGTGGCAGTTCTCCTGCCTCAATCTTGGGAGTGGTGAGATTACAGGTGTGCACCACCATGCTGGCTGTGTGACTCCCATTATTGCCTGCCCTCTTGACCAAATGAATGGGTAAGCATCTACAGTTTGGTTTTGCATAGCCAGGAGTTGGCAAAGGAGAACTCAAGTTAGTGGGAGGAGATTGCACCACCTGAAACAGCTTTGGTGGACAATGAAAGGCCCTGCATAGCTCCTTCCAGCTGTCACATCAGCCTCGGGGCGTGGTTTGGCTGAGTAGGGGCGAGGGACACACTAGGGCACTCTCCTTCTCAGGCTCAGAGCATTCCTCAGGCCTGATGGGTTGCCATAACTGAGTGTGTGTTGCAAAATAGAACTAAAGTGCTTTTGTTCCCAGGCAGCAGTTGGCAAAAAGCACACAAGCCGACACTGTACAAAGTGAGGAAATGATTGTGCTGTAAAGCGCGTGGCCTTTGCCCCACTGAGGCCTTATGTGATTCTGGACCTGAGCCTGTGGAATGTGCCCAAGACTCAATGCCCTGGTGCCCAGGGAGGAGGTGCTTTTATGCATTGCATCCCATGTGAGGATGTTCTGTATCCCAAATGCAAAACTCACTAGATATAAGAGATGTTTGTCCAGATGGGCTGGGTGCCAGCTCCAGTTTAACTGTTCTTTTTTTTCAAACTTGCAGGTCTGATGGAACTCCTTCAGTTTGATCACGGCCATTCAAATCCCACTTACTACATCAGGGTGGCCAATCATCAGCTGGTTCTGAGGAAAAAACCACCAGGGACTCTCCTGCCATCTGCCCATGCCATAGAGAGGGAGTTCAGGTAAATTCTCAGTGGCCAGGGCCGCCTCCACAGCACATCAGCTCAGACCTAGGCCAGGAGGTCAACCTCCGTAAAGTACCCTGAGTCATTTAAAATTGCAATTAGGAATCACCATGTTATTTTAAGTAAGAACATTTGACCTATTATTTATTTATGCATTTATTTATTTAAAGATCTGACCTCTCAAAAAACCAAAAGAGAGAGAGAATAAAAGAAAATATTATTTTCTTTTTAAAAAATGTATTATTATTAGCGTCATTATTTTGGCTTCTTTTTTTCTTTTTTTTTTGGTACCGGGGATCGAACTCGGGACCTTGCACTTGC